CTGAACTTAAATGTAGTAAATCCACATTTGAAGAATTACAAAATTGCTAAAAAAGCCAAAGAGACAGAGAGTGAAAAACTTTCTAGACAAAAAAAGCAAAAAGAATATATGAGGGCATACAGAAGGAAAATAAAGGATTATGAGACAGGGGAGGAGAAGCAAGCACGATTGATAAAACAAAATGTGCAAAAGTGGAACTCTAGACAGAAAAAGGAAGACAATACATTTGATGTAATTAAACCAGTAGGAAAATTTACAGCTAAAAAAGCCAAAGAGACAGAGAGTGAAAAACTTTCTAGACAAAAAAACCAAAAAGAATATATGAGGGCATACAGAAGGAAAATAAAGGATTATGAGACAGGGGAGGAAAAGCAAGCACAATTGATAAAACAAACTGTGCAATTTAAGTGGAACTCTAGACAGAAAAAGGAAGACAATACATTTGATGTAATTAAACCAGTAGGAAAATTTACAGCATGGCAAAAAGTAGATAAACCACTGCATAATGTTGACAAAGAAGCATATTTATCTCAATTTGACAGTATAAACACTGGACCAATTCATGTACAGAAGTGGGCTATCAAAAACATGGAAGACTTTCATAATTCACTTAAATTCAAAATTTATATGTGTGAAGTTTGCCATGAGGCATGGCCATTATCATCAAAAGGCAAAAAGAGATCTCCTTATATGTGTTCAAGATGTTCACGTGACAAGAATGGAGTGAAAAAATTTTCATCTCAGAATGGAATGATTCCTTCACAAGTCCCAAATGAATTGCAAGGTTTAACGCAATTAGAGGAAATGTTAATAGCTCGTGTTTTCCCAGTAATTTCTGTTTATACAAAACCAGGTGGACAAAAAGCATATAAAGGTCATTGTATTAACTTCTCTCAAGATATCCAAGAGTTAGCCAATTCATTGCCAAGAAACCTAAGTGAAATGCCAGTAATAGTTGTGTCAGTCAAAGGCAAAGATAATACTTATAAAGATCTCACTGTGAGACGTGAAAAGGTCAGCTGTGCTCTGCACTGGTTAGTTCAACATAACCCTGTATATAAGGATATCACTATTGATTATGAATTGTTGGCTTTCTTGCCTTCTGATGGCATTCCCACTGAGCTGCGTAAAATTTATTGTACTGAGAACAGTAAAGATGATGAAATTGATCCAGACAGAGGTCCTCTTGATGAAATACCTTTCAATGAAGACACAGAATTGAGTAGCACAATTCTTAACCCTGTACAACTAAAGCCACAGAAGCAGCTGATAAAAGATGAGTTATTACAAAACAGTAAAATCAATTGGCCTAATAGGAATTCAAGTCCTCTCAATGAGTTTAAAATTGAATATTTAGCTACTATGGCATTTCCTACTTTGTTCCCAGATGGTAAAGGAGATCCTACTAACAGTGCTACAATGCGTGATGTGACCCTTGGAGATAAAATAAAACATTTGATTAAATTTGCTGAATATAATAATGGTAAATGGGCTTATAGGTTTGCAAGTCACCCACGGTTTGCTTATTGGGCATTCAACATGATTCAGAGGCACAGACTCCTTAGTCAGGGAAATATTTTTTTAAAGCAAAACCCTGGTGAAGCTAAGTTAACTGTAGAACAACTTCAACAAATGCTTCAAACAAATACGTATTCTACTTTAATGTCAAAACTTATGCATTATGCTAAAAATGTTACTGGTAGCAATAGCTATTGGCACAAAGCTAAAGAGGATTTGCGAGCAACCATTGCTCAAGTAGGACCGCCTACTATATTTTTTACTTTATCTTGTGCTGAGTACCATTGGCCTGAATTTCATGAACTCTTTTGTGACCCTCACTCTGAAACACTTCAACCAGCAATCAGGCAGCAAAATGTTCTTCAAAATCCACATATCTTGGATTGGTTTTTTACTGAGCGAACAGATCGTTTTGTCAAGTTTTGGTTAAAAGAGTCATTAGGGGCTTCTTGGCATTGGTACAGATACGAGTATGCAGTTCAGAGAGGTTCAATTCATTGTCATGGAGTTGCAAAATTGAAAAATGATCCAGGACTTTGCGAACTGACAGAAATTGCATTGCAAGGTTTTTTAGCATCAAAGCATATCAATGAGAACAAAGGAAATTTGTCAGAAGAAGAAATATTAGAACTGGAGACTAAGATAAATCAAGGTATACAAGCAGAGTCTGTTGTTTGTCAGTATGTTGACTTTATACTAACAACTTGGAATCCATGTTCCCCAGAAGAAGGGTGGTCCAAACCAGATTCTCATCCATGTCAAACCCAGTATCTGTCTTTGAATGGCAAACAAAAAGAGGAAGACTATGTGAATTTATTAAACTCTGTTGAGAGACATACAATGTGCAGTACTAAGTATTGTCTAAGGGAAACTAGCAAAAATGAATTAGCCTGTAGATTCAAATTTCCTTTTGAAAATTGCCCAAAGACAAGAATAGATTTTGAACCAATAAACACTAAATCAGGCCAAACCAAGTATAGAGCAACCATTGTTACTAAGCGAAATGATTCAAGATTAAATCGTCACCAACCACTGCAGCTCCAAGGATGGAGGGCAAATTGTGATATTCAAATTATTATAGATTATGTGGCATGTTTGGAATATCTTGTGAAATACACATCAAAAGGAGAAAAAGCTTCTTCAGTTCTAAATAATGCATTCACCAATGTAATTAGTAAAGCATCGGACGAAAGTGACATTCATAACATTTTGAAGCAAATTATGATCAAAAGTGTCGGACAACGAGATTATTCAATCCAAGAAGTTATGCATCATTTACTCTCACTCAAATGTGTAAGTGCAACACATGAAGTAATAAATACATCTCTTGATGGTTCACGAAGAGTACAGGTGTCCAAAAATAAGGATTTTTGTACAATCCCATCCATGTTGGATATTTATGCTGAACGAGAGAAGTTTATTAAGACATTTCCAGACATACTGACATATAATTTTTTGCAATTTACCTCCACATTTGTAAGCAAAAACTCAAAACTGGAGAAAAGGAAGCAAGCTGTAATAGTTAAAACTTATCCCAAATTTTCTTCAAATCCTCAAAATCAGCAGTATGGGCTGTTCTGTAAATATCAACTGCTAAAATATAAACCTTGGCAACATGTAGCAGACAATGCATGGGACAATCTTGAACAGTGTGATGAAACTTATAAAGCATGTTGGATGAACTTTTTGTGTAGTGATTGTGGGAAGAACAGTGTTCCTGACTGGGAATTGCAATTGAGCAGCTTAAAAGCAGCCATTAATCTGGAAAATGAAAATGAAAACATGGAAATTATAGAGGAAGAAAAGGAAGAGTGGATGTTTATGTCAGAACTGAATTTACAGGAGTTGAGCACAGATACTGAATATAACTCGACGTTAGCTCCTGAAGGATATTGGCACAATGTTAGTGAACATTTTGACGATGTTGATCTACTTTCTGTTACTTCTTGGTTAAATACTCAGAAAAATAAAAATGAACCAAGTTGGCACATATCATCAAGAGTAATAGATATTTCAAGTTTTAGTAGCGATCAATTGTTGGCATACCATATCATTCTAAATCACTTCAACAGCAGTAATGAACTGCCTTTGCATCTACTTGTTAAAGGAATTGCAGGTTCAGGAAAAAGCTATGTTATTGATGCTGTAAGAAATGTTCTTAAGGAAAAATGTCAAGTACTAGCATATACTGGAAAGGCCTCTTTTAATGTCAAGGGTGTAACACTGCATTCTTTCCTCAAACTACCAATTGGTTCAAAAAGACTCTTCGAATTGAAAGGAATAGCTTTGCAACAACTTCAAACTAATTTACAAAACATTCAGTATTTGATTATAGACGAATATTCATTTGTTGGCCAGAGCTTATTTGGGTGGATAGATTGTAGATGCAGGCAAGCTACAGGTTTAGCTGATCAAGCTTTTGGTGGTCTTTCTGTTATTCTGGTCGGTGATATAGCACAGTTATCCCCAGTTGGTGATAAACCACTTTTCCATTCTTTGCCAAAATCAGAAAAACAGATTCAGGGTCACCTCATATATAAAGAGTTCAAACAAGTCGTCACATTGTCAGTGAATCATAGAGTTGATGGCAAAACTAATGCCCACAGCTGCTTTAGAGATCTCCTCATTAGAGCACGAAATGGAGAATCCACTTTGGCAGATTGGCAGACATTGTTATCTAGAACTCCTGAAAATGTAACAAATATTGAAGAATTCCTAACATCATCTGTAAGGCTATCCTATCTGAAGGCAAAAGTTGCAGAAATGAACTTGATCAAATTAAAAAATCTAAACCAGCCAATAGCAACAATCAAAGCCCGTCATTCTGGTGGTGCTCAAACACTTAGCTCTGATGAAATGGGAGGATTAGAACCTGTCATATATTTAGCTAAAGGTGCTAGAGTTATGCTCACTATGAACATGTGGACAGAAGTTGGTCTTTGTAATGGTGCACTAGGAACTGTATTAGATTTTGTATATGCTGATGGGCAAACTCCTCCAGCCCTGCCTATTTGTGTTCTTGTACAGTTTGATGAACAATATAATGGACCTTCTTTAACTGCAAGTGTTCCAAGATGCGTTCCAATTTGTCCAATAACCCAAATTTCACAAAACATAGGTCACACATGTGAAAGACAACAACTTCCTTTAAAGCTAGCATGGGCTATGACTATTCACAAAAGCCAAGGTCTGACTCTTAAAAAAGCATGGATAGATCTCGGCCCTTCAGAGAATTCACCTGGTATGACATATGTGGCTCTTAGTAGAGTAAAAAGACTCCAAGATCTCATAATTGAGCCAATGACATTTGAAAGGTTGCAAGCTTACAAAAAATCAAATTTTTTGAAATATAGGTTAATTGAAGAAAAGAGACTTGATTCTTTATCTCTAAATGCTTCTAAAAATGGTCATCATGAGTAACTTTGACTTAATACAGTAAGCATGTTCTCCAAAAGCTAAACAAGACATCCAAATACCAATTATTGTGTTCCCCTGTTTTTCTTTGTTTGACTTGATTTAATTATTGTCTTTGAAAAGCCTCTGGAGGAAAGTCAATAAAATATGTATCTATGTGTGATGTATTTTTAATTTGTAAAACATTTTTTGTTGCAGACGATGGCAAGCAAAAGGACTTATTGTAAGTACTGAATATAATTATTTTATCTTATAAATACAGAATTCATGCCCCTTTAAGTAGTCTAAGACTAAACAGGGACAACTGGTGTCCCTGTTATTTTGCAGCAACTCAGCCCCTAGCACCTGACTACTGTATCTGTGAAAGGTAGAGGCAATTTTGTTCTTGGTTATTGTTGTTCACTCATAATAATGAGTACATGCTGACTCCTTTATATTTCAAGCTTTACCTGCAATGTGTCATTTTCTTGAAATATCCAACCCCCAAATTATTTGACATTACCATGCCAATCAAACATAATTCTCTTATGCATATTCTAACCATCTTAATTGTTTACTTGCAGCAAACGACCATGGGTTTATTCACAACCTCAGTCCAATTAAGAAGTCCCTTAAGTCAAAGCATCAGTGGTATGAATTTCAGCTTCAAACTTCACCCACTAAAGTGAAACGTTTGGTAGGATTTAATCTCTATGTCCATGATTCCTTAAAACATTTTGAGGAAACCAAGAGCCCAGTACAGCTCAAGAACATTATTGTAAAAGACGACAATGAATGTATTTTCAATCAACAATCTGCCGTACATAAAGCAGGCTTGTCAGATGTATCATTTTGTTACACCGAGCAGCCAAAGCTTGAAAGTGCAGGTGAATCAAGTGCTGCAAAGTCAGTTACTGTGTCGAATGTAAAAGGTTTGCACCCAAACCAAAAAGTCAATGTCAGTGGTTCCCTCACTATGGGAAAAGAAGACCTCAAGGCTGTTGTTCTCAGATCCACTGGAGCAACAGCCCATGTGAAGGAAGATTGCGTGTTGGAGGACAACACTGGGTCATCAATGATTCACATTTGGGAACCCCTTGTCCATACCTTGACAACGGGTAAATCATACTGCTTCACCAACCTGACAGTAAAGAATTTCCAAGGGTCGACGTATCTAAGTACATCGCCAAACACAACAGCAAACCTTACAACACAAACAGTGCAAACCCTGACTGGACCAGATATGCTCAAAAGTCCAGAAAAGGAAGTAACTGCTTCAGAATTCAATTTGGTGTCAAAGCTAAACATCTTTTGTTCCTGCAAAGTGTGCAAAAAACGCTTAAATGATGTTGAATCATTCACTTGCACCACACTGAAGTGTGAAAACTGTGGTACACGTCAAAGATCAAGAGATATCAAACTGCAGGCTTCAGCAAAAATTTCTATCACTGAATCAGAAGGTGACAACAGCAAAGAGATGTGGATCCAGGCTTTCACTGAGCAACTAGAAACCCTGCTGGCAGGATCAACCTTATCCCTAAAGGATAAAATCGATGACATTGAAGTTTATCTTATGTCTCTGGAAGACATTTGTTTGGTATACAATGTCCAAACAACAAACATTACAAAGATTCTCTCCTTTAAACGTCCAGAAGTACACTCTGATTAGCACATTGTCTGTGAACAGTCCAATACCCTTGTGTGATTGTCTCGGAGGACGTTGGAAAGTTAAAATTGTTGTTTAATACTGATGTAACATGTGTAGTCTCGAACTGGCCCATGCATCCCAAAGCTAAAAGATGTGCATCTGCTTTCCCAGGTGTTTGACTTTGAGGAACGTTATAGCAGTGAATGAAAAATATTTTGTTACAGTTTAGATTCATGTGTTAGAGATTTCGCTCTATACATCCCTTAATTAAGGATAAAATTAATGACGTTGAAGTTTATCTTATATTGTCTCGAAGAAAATATTTGTTTGGTCAACAATGTCCAAACAATGAACAATACAAAGTTCTTTCCTTTAAACGTCCAGACGTAAACTCTGATTAGTTCATTCTGTGTGAACAGTCCAATAACATTGTGTGACTGTCTCGAACGATGTTGGAAAATTAAAATTATTGTTTAATACTGATGTAGCATGTGTTATCTCAGACTGGCCCATGCATCCCAAACTTAATAGTTGTGCTATCCCAGTTGAATGACTGTGAAGAAAAAATTTATTTAGTGATTCAGAAATATTTTGTTACAGTTCATATACAATTAAGAGTTGTTATTGTGGGTTCATTTTTGTTCTGTATTACCTTATATTATTCAGTTTTACACATAATTTTTAGAAAGGGAAGAAAACACACTTGGCTATCATTGCAGCACAAACTTTTGTATTGCAATAATGTAAAATCAAGAAACTTATTTTCGTTTTCACCATATTCACCTCAAAATTTAAAACATTTCACGTTGGTTGGAATACTTCACTACTAAAATTTACACCCACAAAACATGACTCCATTTTTTAACATTACCAATGAGTATTTCTTTTCATTGGTTGCTCGTTGGCACTTAGCGATAGCTATATCTAGTTTTATGTATTCTTTCATGTAACCTTGATCAGCTCTGCGCTTTTCATGTTTATCAATTATTCTTTTTTCAACTATACTTTGATCACACGTTTTGTCGTTCGGTACCTGACAGTTTCTCTTTTCTACTGTAGAAACATAATGAGTTTCACTCATAGCCAGAAATTCCATACAGTCAGCGGTTTGAACGGCAGGCGCGTAAATTTCGGTATTCAAGATGGCGGACAGACAAAAGCATTCTGAAGGCTTCTATTGGAGCCTAAATGCTCTCAGTTCAGCAGATTTTATGGAAAGTCGATGGAAGAGAAAAAAAGGACCTGGCCCTTACTATCAAGTGGAAAGAGTTTTAAGCTGCAGGCGAAAAAAAGGAAAGGTAAATAGGACGTCAGCTCGAAGCAAATGACGTCGCTCAAAAATTGATATTCAACAAAACCTTGTACATAATTTTAAACCACACACACAAACAAGTGTTCTTTGTAATTTTTTTTTTTTGTAAGAATGAGTACCTAATTTGTTGGAAAGGGTACACTTCCCTAGAGGACACTTGGGAAGTGGAGGAAACCTTAACGAAACTGCGATAAGGTAGCATTTGACCAGTCAAAATTAATTAACATAAAACTTAATTGTTTTATTATACTACTGCTTGTTTTAACACCAGAGTCTGGTCTAACACGAAACAGTTCGAGAGACAAGAAGCAATCTTATTTCTGTTTTTAATTGATTATTGTGTAACTTTTTTGCATAAATAATTGGCCACTTTACAAGTATGTTAGATAATAATTAATTCCAACTATTTTGTTTAGGGCATTTAGAACATCCAAACCCTCAGAGGAAAGAATTAAAGAGGGATCTGATTTACTGGCAGTTCCTATTCTCCAACATCTCAAGAGCAAACATCAGACAGCCTCACCCACAACTGTGATGGAAATTAGACATGATGTTTTTAATTATATTTTTAGAGGACAAGGAAGACCCAGCACAAAATCTGGTTGCATCTTGCTGGAGAAGAATGACTTTACACGCTTGGAAATTATTGCCTAAAATTGGGCCAAGTAAATGTCCCGTTTTCCCCAGTCCTCTTGTTCAAAATTTGGCGCGGCCATTTTCCTCGCGTGCGAAGAGCAAAAATTCGCCAGGCTTTCACCCCCTTTGTGGGGGGAATGGTACGAGTACACAATTTCTTACCGCGAAAACCGAAATCCTCGAGGGAAAAGCTTTCTTTTGATACCTTGTTTACCATATAGCGTTCAGTTTTCGAAAAATACGGCGGTTGTGAAAAAGCACTTCGACACCATCTATAAGTTCAGAAATTTCTGGTTCTAGTGGACTTTTGAAAGTGATATATTTGAGTTTATTGCCACCCAATTTTGAAAAAGTAAAACCATACTTCTCTAGAAAAGGTATTTGTCTTTCGTTTTTGTGGAAATAATGGTTAATATTCTGAGCTTCAGAGGGTGAATTTTTGTTTGAAAAATTAGTAAAAATCTTTGTAATTGATCGTAGGCCATTGAATTTTGGGCTCAAGTTTGAGCTTGTATGGGAACCAAGAAGAAACCTCTTTGGAGGTCTCCTAAATGTTCTGCGAGAAGCCGATTTCCACTAGGTGAGTTGGCAAGGGAAAAATGAATCCCTCTGAACTTTCTGATGGTGGTAAACTGAACTTAACTCGACGAAGTGCCCAACGGAGGCAATTGGAAACCTTAATTGCTGCAACAGAGATCAATGGAGGGAGTATGGAGGACAGGGCTCCTGCTCTAGAGGGCATGGTCTCCACTGTCCTTAAGTATAGAAAAGTAACTGATGTTGCCAAGTATCTCTCCTCATCTAAAAAATTGAAAAAGGCCACTCTGATGGAAATAAAGAAGGAAGCACAAGAATACGAGAAAAGTAATGAAATTTTATCCGGTCATTATCATTGCTCTATGCTGGAGGGGTCATTGGAAAGGTAAAGTACATGCAAGGGAGGTCTGCACTTGTCATGAGGCACACAGGGAAGAGCACTAAAACAGGTACTCCATCAAAACAGAGAATAACATTTGGTTTTGGAATACCAATTCCAAGACCTCTTTCTTACAAAGACTTAATGCAAAATATTTCACAAATTGACATTGGGGAACTAATTTCTGTTAGAGACACCTTGTGTGCCACTTTACCCCAAGAGCAGAGAGTTACTGGTGTGTACAGAGATCTAGAAACAATGCTCCTCACTCTAAGCAAATTTTATCTTGAAACAGATCCCATTAGAAAGGAGAGTGAAAAGCTGGTTTGGTTTGGTGAGAAGGGAGCTTTCAAAGTAGCGGTGGGTGGAGACAGTGCCCCATTTGGAAAATGGGTTGAATCTGTGTCTTGGCTAGTGAGTTTCCTTAATGTGGGGGCAAGAGTTGCAAGCCCGAATGAAAATTTCCTCTTGTTTGGTGCTAATTGCGAAGAAGATTATCCTGCTGTTAGACTTTTTACAAAGCAGCTAGCCTCTCGAATTAAAGAAATTGAGAAGAAAGCCTATACTGTATCAGGGGTGCAAGTAACTTTTTCCTTTGAACTGGTTCCCTCTGATATGAAATTTCTTTGTTTCCTTAAGGGAGAACTAAACAATTCTGCTAGTTATTTTTCAAGCTTTGCCAATGTATCAAAGGCAGATTGCACCACATTAAATGGCAAATTTGGAAACATGCCAAATTGCAAGTGGAAACCTCGGCCATACCGACAAAGACTGGACATGGCTAAGCAGGTGTCAAAGTTCAAGGATAAAATTTCCCCCCAACCTTGCAAAGTCCACCCAGAGAAGTAAAGTTACTCAGTTCATTGCAAACAAGAAGTCAAGACAAGAATTTGAGCCTCCCATCAGTACTCTTTATGATAAAGAGGTTGTCGAGCCTCTCCATTTGAAAAATAATGGAGTGCAACATTTGCAGTCAATGCTTTTAGACTTGGCAATTTCATCAAGTAACATCCCAGACAAAATCAGCAGTTTGTCAGATCTACCACCATCAAGTGCACTTTTCAGATACTTGTAAGCATTAGAGTCTGATGTCAAAGCTGGATGACTAAAGAAACAAATAGGGAAATGGATCCTAGAATACAGGCCAAAAGATAAGGACTTTTCCTACAGACTAACTGGAAAAGACTCTTAACTTGTCTTGCATGGTTTCATGTTTCTGGTAGATTCAATCAAGGGGGATTCAGATAACCCCAAATTGATTATGAAGCTGATCTGCATTGTATTCATAGCAATCAAGTTGAGAGATTGTGCTTCAAGGTTCTCTATGTATCATATCACTCCTACAGTTGTCCAAGAGCTGCAACAAATGAGCCATGATTATTTCACAGCAGTTGTCCTTTTCATTGACAAAGTTTCATGCACAGTCTGGAGTATTGGCCATCTGGTTCCAGTTCATACTCAGTGGATGTTTGATAAATATAGAACTGGCCTTGGTATAAACACAATGCAGGGAAGGGAGGCAAAGCACGTCCAGATTGCTAGTTATGCAAAAAACAGTCTTTTCAAGGACTGCTGGCACCAAGTGTTCCGACATGACTACATCAGTAAACCTTGGCTGCCTATTCATCAGCCCTCCCTCTTGACCTATCACCAGACAAAGGAAAGCCTTATCCCCTTGTCCTGTGACCACAGATCCACAGCATCACTGTTATTGTGGTTTTCATAAGCCTCGATGCAATGAAAAATGCTACTACTGTGGTCATTCATTCATGGCTGAAGTAACGAGGTCAGTAAAGGAGGGAAAGCCCACCAAGGAGTGCCTTAAGCATATGTCATGAGTTAATCCTCAAAACATTGAGTGATATTTTTAGAAGCATTCTAAGTGTAACTGTACTTTGACTCACAATGAACCCCGGCTGTTTAAGGACTTATAAAACAACTGTTTTATTTTTCATGCCTTGTAACATTTTCATGAATAAGGAGTTGAGGTAAATGTAAGTTTATATTTAACTGTAACTGATTATATTGAACCCAAAGTTTTCTCTGTTTACATACTGCTCATAACCATAAGGTTCAATTTCATTGATTAAAATTATAGAAGTTCTTCCTCATTTAATTCAATCACCTGGAGGAAAAACATTTAGAAGTTAATATAAAAATTCAAATTGAACTATGTATAATTATATAATCTGTATAATACATGGCTGAAAAAACAAAGTCAGCAAAGAGGGGAATGCCCCTACCAAGGAGGGCCTAAAGTATGAAATTGTCATGAGTTAATCCTGATTGTGCATTTTGAGAGGCCTTTTAAGTCTGCTCTTGGCTAAAGTTATACCTCTGCTTGCTTTTAGAATTATCAACTGTAACTTTATGTCATAATATATGAGAAGTTTTCTCTGTCTACATACTTCTCGTAACCATAATAAGTTTATAAGTTTCAGCGCTTATAGTAGTGGTTTGCCTTATTTAAGCTTATATGATCATGTGGAGACATTATAACATCTAGAATGAATACTGCTATTTGATAGTGTTTTACTATTTCCTTGTTTTACTGGTGTCTTTTCTTTGTGTAGCTCACACTATTTAACACAACAGTTAAGCAATGTCGGTTTCCAAAATAAACTGGTGATTTCTGTATTTAGTGTTGGCTGATACCAAACGAATTCCAATAGCCATAGTAAAATTTTGCTTGCAAACACTCTGCTTTTGCATTGTAGATCATCACTCCTTTTTTTCTTGGCTGACAA